AAAAACATTTAAAAAATTAAAAACAACAACAACAAACAAAACAAAAAAACAAGCAACCTGATTTAAAGCTAGACAAAGGTTCTGACATTTCTCCAAGGAAGCTTCACAAATGGCCAATTAGCGCAGGGAAATGCAAAGCAAACCAACAATAAAGTTACTACTTCAGGCTCACTAGGATGGCTAGAATCAGAGTCAGAGGGGCGCCTGGGTGGCTCAGTTGGTTAAGTGTCCAACTTCGGCTCAGGTCATGATCTGACGATTCATGAGTTCGGGCCCCATGTCGGGCTCTTCGCTGACAGCTCAGAGCCTTCAGATTCTGTGTCCCCCTCTCTGCCCCTCCCCTACCAGTACTCTGTCTTTCTCTCTCTAAATAAACAAACATTCAGAAAAAAATTTTTAAGAGATGGTATCAAGTGTTGTCAAGGATGTGGAGAAACTAGAACCCTCATGCAGGGTTGGTGGGAGTGTGAAATGGTATAGTTCCTTTAGAAAACATTCTGGTAGTTCTTCAAACAATTAAATAATAGACTAATAAATACCATACAGCCCAGTAATTCCACTTCCAGGTGGAATGAATCTGGGACATGAATCTCTACAGCAGCATTATTCATAACAGCCAAAAGATGGACACAATCTGAATGTCCATCAACTGATAAAGAGATCAACATGTGTAAAATCTATATGACAGAGTATTTTTAAGCTACAAAAAAGAAATTAAGTACCGACACCTGCTACAAAGTGAACCGTAGAAACATCATGCCAAGTGAAAGAAGACAGTCACAAAATCACTATCAACATGAAGTATGCAGAGAAGGGAAATCTACAGAGACAGAAAACAGATTTGTGGACCACTGAGGGTAGGGACGGAAGGGGGGTCGAAAGGGTCAGGTGATGGAAGCCAAAAGTTACAGGGTTCCTTCTTGAGGTGATAAAAATGTTCTAAAACTGACAGTGGTGATGGTTATACACATGTCTGTAAACATGCTAAAAACCACTGAATTGTACAGTTTAAATGGGTGAATTATATGGTATATGAATCATATCTCAACAAAGCTTTTAAATAAAAAATTCACTTTACCCAAAGAGAGGTCTGGCCTTTGACCCCTGCCCCTGGAAGGTAATCTTTAAACTCCTGGAATGTCCCTCCTGGTAAGAGCGGCTCTGTTTACCTGGGGGCCTTGGGTCACACCAGACAGTCTATGCTAACGATGCAATTAATGGTGGGGGCCTTGGGCCACACACCCTCAACTCTACCTCAGGAGTGGCTGGAAACTAAGGTCATCCTCACAAGCAATAAACCGTGTCTACAAGACCAAACCCAGTAAGAGCCCTGCACGCTAATGTTTGGGTACGCTTCCCTAGCTGATAATGCTCTGTGCATATTTGACACATCATTGGTGGGAGAAGTTCGCAGTGTCCACAACTCCCTGGGAGGGGACAAATGAAAGCTTCGTGCTTGGAACCCCCTAGACGCAGCTCCATGCGCCTCTTCCCTTGACTGACTTTACAGCCATATTCTTTCGCTGGAGTAAACCTTAACAGCCGGTGTAACAATTTTAGTGAATTCCGTGACTTCTCGCAGTGAAATATCAAACCGAAGGGTAGCCCTGGGGATCCCTGAATGTGGAGCTGGTGTCAGATGTGAGAGGGTCATGTTGGGAAGTCTAACTCTGTGGAGACATAATAACCAAATGCCACGTACAGACACTGATCAGATACCAGATTTCAAAAAAATAAATAAATAAAAACTTAAATATAGGTTATAATTGTTTTAATGTTTATTTATTTTTGAGAGAGAAAGGTAGTGTGAACAGGACAGGAGCAGAGAAAGAGGGAGACATAGAATCCGAAGCAGCTCCAGGCTCCAAGCTGTCAGGACAGAACCCGAAACGGTGCTCAAACCCATGAGCCATGAGATGGTGACCTGAGCCGAAGTTGCACGCTTAACTGACTGAGGCACCCAGGTGCCCCTAAATATAGGTTATAAATTAACATTTTAAAAGTAAACATACAGTTCTGCACAAGATACAGGCACCCCCAACAGTGGACAGCTGCAGTATGGCAGCTCCACACCAGGACAGCCCTGAGAGCAGGGGCGACAGTGATGGAAGGGAGTCCACTCAGTAAGAACTCTGCGTCTCTGTATGTGTGGTCCGGAAGGAGGGATGGGCAGAGCCACAGATCGAATCTGTGAACTGGGGCTAATAGTTTGGTTGGATGGTCAGGGAATTCGGACACACAGAGAATTCGGACACAACACGGAATTCCGACACAACACAATCAGAGAATGAGCAGCAAGGTCTGAGGAAGAAATATGTGCACAGATCTCTCCAAACTGATAAAGAGGGCTAAGCCATTTGCAGCCTTTGTGAAAAAATTTATGTCACTAGCCACTCCTACCTTTGTCCAAATGAGGTTATGAATGGGGTGGCCAGGCTGGGATGGAAGTTAGGTGTGGGCTCAGCAACGTGACTTTCCACTTATCAGAGCTGATCTGGCCATAGCCACTGCTAAAGACCCAATCCGCCAACAAGAAAGATCACACTGTGCCCCCGATATGGCACCAGCTGCCTGGTGGCAGGCTAGGCACACTGGACTGCTTCCATCATGGAAGGGGAAGGACCCTGCTCTTACTGGAAGAGACACTTACTCTGGATATGGATGGATTTACATGCAATACTTCTGCCAAAACTAGTTATCTCTGGATTCATGTCATCATGGTATTACACACATTCCTCTGACCAAGAAACTAACTTCACAGCAACTACACTGTGCCAATGGGTCCACGCCCACTGCATTCAGTATGCAATGATGATCATCAAGCAATGGCCCATCCCGATTTAATTGACCACGTTCCCACCATCCCCAGGCAGCAGCTGACCAGAACAGTAAACTGGCCTTTGCAGGGTACGACGAGAAACAGTGGCTAGCCGGCCCTGGTGGGGCAAGGCCAGTGCCCTCCAGGACGCGGTATGTGTTCTAAATCAACGTGCACACTATGATGCGATCTCTCCCCGCACCTACTCCCCCACGGCCCCTCTTCCCTTCAGCTGCTCCAAGCTCTGGGCCAGACGTGTGTACACAGCTCCCTAGTCCAGGGTATCCATACTACCAAGGTCAGAGGCAACAAGAACGGATGTGTGTTTCCTGCCCACCCGTGAGAGCCCCGGCTCATGCTTGTGGGTTCCAGCTTGTTCTTTGGTCTCAGTCTCTTTACGTTCCTTTTTCCTTCCCAAGCGCCTGACTCTGGGATCAAAGACACAAACACGAGAGCCTGAGTGGACTGCTTACCTAGCTCCCACAACTGCACAAGTTCAAACCCCTGTAAGAAGCCTGTGTCTCTTTTATTAGCTCTGTTTCCCTGACTGAAAAGTGACTGATACAGATTTAACCTTCTATAAATAGCAGCAACAAGCTGCTTTTGTTCAGAGGCTCTGCTTGTACATTTTTTCAAGAATATTCCAAGAATAATATTATTTTTTAACTATCATTAACCACTGTGCAAAAACAGGTATACAACATTATACGAAATTCAGATATTTCAAATGTCACCTGCATAATATGGTGGTTGAAAACTAGTAATAAAATAAAACCACTCCTTTTCTGCTCTGGTCCATTATCTCTAATGACCCAATCCAATAGTATTATTTTAGTCTGGTCTCATCCGAATGTGATCAACCACCTTCCTGCTCTAGGCCTAAGCCCTGGTTGCCAGGTTACAGAAAAGACACTAAATTCTACAACTGGTTCCACTATAAACTCCAAAGTGGAAATGGCTCTTCAACACAAATCTGAGAACCTCCCATTTTGCACAGTGGCTATTTCAGATGATCACCAGGGAGCCCCAGACGCTCCGTCAATCTTCCTCTCACTCTCCCTTTCCCTCTCGGTAGATGACCCCAAAGACAAACTCGAAGTCAAACAAGAACTTCCTCATCTTCCCACCAGTGGACCCATAGACCCCTGGCAAACACCAGCTTCTCCTTCCCCCGTGCTGCACTGGGGGGCACCTGTCCCTCTGCGGGAACAGCCCCGCGGTCCCTGCGCTGGGCCCCATCCCACTTTATACGCTCCGGGTACGATGCCCCCTGCAGGGCGCTTACAGACGGCACTCAGACTTCTTCCCCTTCTGCATCATTGGTCTTTCTTTCCCTCACAGAACAACTCTCCCAAATCAGAATGTATGTTTTAATCACGTCACAGCTTCTTCTGTTTTAAACATTCCTTTGAAATACTGATCACCTTCCCTCAGGAAGCTAAGCCTCCTGAATGAGTTGTCAAGGGAAGAAAAGAAAGAAGTCAGGATTTTATTAGAGAGTGACCGGTAGTTGACAATAATGGGAGTGATAATCATATTATGACTGATGTTTGGAATATATCCATAATTATAAACTGCTAGAGTAAGTGCTTCTGAACAGTCAAATTTCCAAGTAGTTAAGGGTCTTCCGTTTAAGTATAGAAACATTTCTTACTGCAGTCATTTTGAAAGGAAATTTCCCGAACAGTATTATAAACTTACCTGCCATTTAAAACATAATATATGGAACTCAATTTAATCTTTTCCTGATAACACAGAATAATTATTGGGACAAGTAATGTAACGCATCATAACTGAGGAATGCCCCTCTAGAAGGCTGGTAGCTTCTATGCCAGCTACCTCGACAAAGAAGTTCATGATTTTTTAGTTCTTTCTCTCCATTTTTCCATCTCATTCTTTGCTCTCTATACTAAGCCAGCTGTCAATTCTCATTGCTATAAGCATTTTTTCTTGTGGTTGTCTGTTTCCTCACTTTCAATTTGCTTTTATTATTAGGCTTCTAGTCTGAAAGTGGATAACCAAGTACATTAGACTTATATGTAATATTAAAAAGTAGGTCCCAAGAGACACCTTCTGTAGGTAGGTAATCAATAAACAGCTGTTAAATTTAGAGTAAAAATTAAAAAGCTAGCTTAAAATCTGTAAACATTTGATTAGCATCAAGAGATGAGACACAAAATACCTTTTAAAACCATGACAAATCACAGAAAAATGGATTCACAGGCTTGTCTCATACCTTCTGGTATACAACAACACCCTGGCTAGAAGAAACTTTCTGAATCCTGTTTCTTCTACTACTCATTACCATTCACACATCGCATTATTATGATGCTAAAAGAGTCAAAATAAATTGTTACAAGAAGAAAATAAGGAAACTGATTCTATCCATTTTCAAAATTAATTTAAGATCATTTAAAACCAAAAGACTAACGAGGAAGTCTTTTTCGAAGTGAAACTAAAGCCAACTGGCAAAGACGAAACAAATGACGCATTAAGATGATGTAACTGAACTGTGGTTCCGGCCTTCACCCTATCCTTCTGTATTAAGTAAAGAACCATCTTACCTACCTCTGTCACAATTAAAACCCTGAGAGTTCACAAAGAACCAATATTATTATCACCTAGCTTATTGAAAAGAACACTAATTTCAAGTATTAGCTTTATGAAATGACTAGAAATATACTGTTTCAGTTATTCACGTAACCGCCACCTAAGTACATACACAACACAGTCAACACCCTTGATGCACTGCCTCTTGATGATTACATAATTATTAAGTTTGAGTTTCAGTTGAGAGAAAAATCTCAAACGAAATGCATCCTACTATAGCAACTCAGCTGACAAACTCTATTTCTAAAAATTGCTCTCCTCACACTAGAAAGTCAGCAGCTAAACAGATATGCTGCATAGACCATAATTTATCTAACAAAACCTGTTTAAGAAAAAAAAAAAACAGGAAAAGAAAACCCAACAGAATTCCATTAAAACGATATTAAAATCTTATGAAATAAAATGACAAATCATTCACTCCCAGATGATTTAAGTCCTTTTGTTGATTTCTGACTGTGTCTGTCCCTCACAAAACATCTGAGGATTAAAACTAACGTATTAGAGATAAAAGCTTTTGTGGGACAAAAATGAGTCACTCTTTCATACATATACACACAAGTTATGCCGTCAGGAAAGAGAAGAAATCACTCACGCTGAATCACAGAATTAAGAAAACTTCATCTTAAACACTGAAAATTTAAGTGTGGATATTTCTGATGCCATAAAGAAGCACTAGAGATTTGACCTATCAGTGACCCAAATCCAGGACAGTTTCTAATTCCACATCCTTTTATTTATACCCAAGTAAATAAACTTTAGTGTTAGCTTTGTCAGACAACTGGCAACATTTTTCACTAGACTATTTCCATGTCTAAAATGTCTAAAAGATCGGGGAATATTTTGGTTAATTCTTGTCATCCTTCTTTTGCTATACAGCTAATTTAATATTAACCTACTGAGAAGCACAGGAACTATGCTTTGTTTCACTTTGGTCTGTAAAACACCTTTAAGAAGACTATTCAACAAGGTTTGTTTGTTTGTTTATTCACTTATTTTACAATATCAATATTGTCTAAGTTTACTTTTCCAGTGGCTCCATCTACAGCTTTCTTAGGTCATGCCTACTATGCCAGGAAGTATAAATGTCCTGATCCCTCCCTAAAGTCTTTGTCAGAAGAACAATGGTAGGAATTACAGGCAGAACTCAAGATTATTCTCCAATGTGGCATGACTTATGGGTAATTCTAAGTATTTGATATTCAAATTACAGACAAATGTTTATTTTTTTAATGTGTTATTAAAATTCTGCTGATTTTATTCAGCCAACTTAATAGATAATATATTCTTATCAGACTATTTTTTAAGCATTTGAGCTTCCAAAAATATCATCACTATTTCTGAAATTTTAAAACTTGCATATTTAATTCTGGATCCTGCACACTACAAATTAACTACACATTCCAGGAAACCTGTCCCAGCATCTGAGTATCCCAGTGACCACACATCTCCTCTGCTAGAACCTAAGCAACAATTCTCTGCAGTTCAATATTGAGCCCACTATGACATTTTTTTCAAATGTGGTTTGTACTGGAACAAAGTGGAGAAGGTTGACGATAAAAAGGACAACAACGATAAGAGATGTGCTTGTTTTTAACATAATATTGTTGCAAAATCAAAACAATGGCCATTGATGAAAACAATAGAAGATATATTAATTTTCTAGGCAACTTAGTATAGTGGTGAAAGAGAGACTTTTGCACTCAATTTCAAGCCTCAAGTATGTGATTCTACAAAACAAATATTTATCAGATGCTATTATGTACTAAAAACCAGAAGAGAAAGTGAAGACACAATGGCAAGCAAAAGCAGACATGATCCCAATAACATGGAACGATATGGGAAAGACAGGCATTAACTACAGGGATGTTCAATAAAAAAGTCAGGTTCCAGTTGTGATGGCAATAGGCCCTAACAGAAGGGATGACACAATCACAAGGTGAAAAGGCTTCCCTAAAAGAATAATGAGATAGATGAGACAAGTATGAACAGATAGAGTCCACTAGACACAACAAAAACTGCATGTGTACAGAGTCCATGTCTGGAGAAAGCGCAGCACCCAAGAGGAGCCAAAGTCAAGTCAGCATGGCTGAAGCAGAGAAGGCAAAGCCAAACAGAGGAAGACTGGAGATGAGGCAGGAGACATAGAGACCACACCAGTCAAGGTCTTGTTAGGTCCTGTTAAAGAATCTAACAGCAATCAAATGCCATCTGAAAGGTTTTCACATAGAGTCCAAAGGATCAGAGACACACTTGAGAAAAAGGAAAACCAATTACTCTGGTTTCAATGAGGGGGAATTAAAAAAGAAATGAAGGAAGGTAAGAAATGCCAGCAAACCAGTTATGAGCCTATTTTTACAGACCTAGCAGGACTGAAGAGAAGCAGACGGATTACGACTGAGAGGAGATCAAGACTGCTAACAGATCTGATGTGGGACGTGAGGGAGGAAGAGGGATCGCAAGGACTCCCAACTTTCTGACCCAGGCTAGCTCGTAATGCTACATACTGATAAAGGAACAAACAAAAATGAACTGGGTTCAGCCTAGAGATATGTGGTCATAAGAAAGCCACAGAGTATCTCTGAGCATCAGTGTACCATAAGGGGTTAATAATATCAATACTGCCAGATAATTCTAAGCATCAATGTATGCAAAGAGCCTAACATGGAGCAGATCCTCACAAAATAGTAGTTTTTGTTATTCTCTCCCACATTGTCCCAGAGCAGTGTTCTCAACTGGGGGTGACTTTCTCACGGGGGGACATTTGGGAACGTCTGGAGATATTTTAGTTGTTCAAAACACGGGGTAGGTGTGGATGTTTCTGGCATCTACTGAGGACAGGGAGGCTGAGAAACATCCCACAATAGATGAACAGTCTTCCCACAACAAAGAGCCAATCCAAAAAGTCTACACTGCCAAGGCTGAGAAACCCTGGTCCAGAGGGATTATGATCACATTACTGCAGCCTGGGAAGTTCTTCTGGATTCATTAATGGTAACCACTGTCCACATGAATTGGGAGTTAAATGGAATTATTATTTGGATCCTGTTTAATCAAGCTAACAGTTTCCAAATTAAAGCCTGGCAATGGAAGATGTTAGTGAATTCATAGCCTAAATACTAAGTGTATAAAAACATTAAATGTTTTCTAGCCATGAACAATAATTTGCTTTGCCATTTTGGTGTTTAAAAAAAAAAAAAAAAAGCCTGAACTGAAAAAGACAAAAAAGATGCCAGTTTATAAAAAAATCAGATACTCCGACTCCATGAAAACTGAAAACTACAAGCTTTTTTTTTAGCATCATTATGTAGAAACCATGGATTGCAACAAATCTGTCTAATTAGTATTGCATTATAACACAAAGATTATCAACAAGGAAAAAAGACTGTGTCTAATTCTTAGACTTGAAAAAGACTTTCAAGTTTTATGACAAATTTGTAATCGAAACTTTGATCAAACTCAGTTTTGAAACTATCCTTCAAATTCTAAGCCCTCAGATTCATTGGAAAAAAGATGAATTAGCTAATGAAATAAAACTTCATAAATCAAAATAAATTTTAGACCCTATTTTTCTCTAGGAAGAAAAATGGCTAGTTAAAGTACTGAACCAGCATACCCAATGGCCAACAACTTCAACATAATAGGTCAGAATCTGGGAGGAGGGCCTACAGTTCTCCTAAAATCTCACTCAGGTCCCAATTCCTGACCACAGGAAGATACCACCTCTCACCGACGGGGATGCCCGCTACTGAGAGACAAATCAACAACAGTGAAACCCAAACAGTAAGAACTGGTGAGGATGTAGTGACTGGTGCCCTTGCACATGGGTGGTGGGGACGTGAAACCGGTACAGCCGCCATGGACATCAGTTTGGTGGCTCCTCAGAAAGTCAGACACACAGGGGCATGTGGGGGGCTCAGTAAGTTGAGTGTTTGGCTCAGGTCGTGATCTCCGGTTCATGAGATTCTCTCGCTCACTCTCTCTGCCTCTCCCCAGCTCACATGTGCACTTTCTCTCTCTCAAAATAAATACATAAAAAATTTTTAAAAATAGAAAGCAATCAAAATAAATCAAAAAAAAAAAAAAGAAAATCAAACACAGAATTAGCATTCGGTCTAGCAATTCCACCCCAGATAGATACACAGAAGCACTGAAAGCAGGGACTCAGAAAGATGCTTGTACGCCAAGGTTCATGGCAGCACTACTCACTACAGCCAAAAGGTGGAAACAACCCAGATATGCAGCAACAGGTGAACAGATTCCTTTTTTTTTAAAGTAGTATATACATGTGATCGAATTCTGACTCAAGCTACAACATTATGCTGAGTGAAGTGAGCCAGACACAAAAGGACAAATAGTGCATGATTCCACTTATATACAGGCACATTCTTTGGAGACAAAAATAGAAGAGGTTTCCAGGGCTGATGTAGATACAGGAGTGGGAAAGGGAGGTACTGTTTCATAGGTACAGGGATTCTGCTTGAGATGACAGAAGACATTCTGGAAAGAGAGGGTAGAAATTGGTGTACAATACTGTGAATGTACTTAATTTCACTGAAACTATACATGTGAAAATGGTTACAATGTTAAATTCC